TTTTTTTTTTTTATGATTATTATCATCAATTACTTAAACTTACGTAAGATTTGATTATTGTAAATGTGTTCATATTTATGATTCAAAAAATCTATGTTAAAATTGTTCTTTTATGTATCTACTATGTAAATGAAGTCGTCCGATAAAAATGTATAACTATTTTTCTAACATATTCTCTTCCGAAAAAACAAGAACAACAACAACATGAATGAGAAAGGTTAAGAAAAAGAGCTGTTGTTCGTTCTTGCATTCTTCTATTCAAACTAATTAAATTCCTGAAAAAGGAAAATAGAAAAATATCGAGTGCATGTCCGACCAGAAAAATAGAGAAAAACGAGAAGAATATAGTATTTTCTTTCTTTTACAGTTTTTTTTTATTGTCATCTCAACATCTATTCATTCGAATAGATGAACGAACGTTCTCTCGAGACTATTCATAATAGGCAATTTATATATGTATATACACATATATATATATACAGCTTGATCTTTATTTTTTTAAATAAAAATCTAAATCTAGCTTAAGTAGTATTTATTTTCGTTTAAATCATGACTACAATTGATAATATTGACTGCATGAATGACTTTTTGTTGGAAGAATCAAACCAACGCCAAGTAATGACTAAGATGATTCAATAATTTATGGTAATGTTTTATACAGCCGCAAGCTTTTTCTTGAATACAATAAAACAAACAAACAGATGAACAAAAAGAAGAAGAATACTCAGTCTCTTGTGATGATTTCGCATGAAAATAGTGTATAATATGAGACGTATGCATTTGGTGTATCTAACCCAAAGAGAGATTAAACCGAGCACGCACTATACTCATCGTTTCAGATTGAATTAAAACGGCCACACAACACACGCGCGCACATAATTACCACGTCTATAGAATGAGCTCGTCTACATATCTGCGCATATACTCTTCAATCCTTGTTGAACTACTAATATTTCGAAGCAGCAGAAAAAAAAGAGAAATTGGCATCATCGTTCTCTTTCATCTTCTCTTCTAGAGGAAAAATTATTTGAAACTAACACAATCACTATAAATGCTTTGTTCATGTCTGTAATATATATACCTTTTTTTATTTCTCTTGTATTTTTTTTCTCGTTTATATATAGAAATAAAGTAATCATAGTCGGAATATAATGGTCTTCTCCTCTAGCTAAAATTGTTGCCTCTTCTTCTCCTTCTCCTTCTTCTCTTTCTTTACGTGCATTAGGCCTCTTACTGTTAACTTCTCAAGTATATAGTTTGGAGAGAAATAGAGAGAAACTATGTCTACTAAAAGCAAAACGGAAGCTGAGCAATGCACTAACACATGAGCAAGTAAAGAAAAAAAAACAAGCAAACGACAATGAATGTTATGCACGCGGAAAATCAAACTACATACAAATGACAGACAAGCAGAAAATAGAAGAGGCGTACGCAATAATCCAACCATCTATCATCATCATCATATCAATATATAAATGAAAGAGACAAAAGAAATAAAAAAAAATTTGAATGAACGTCTGATTTTTCGATAAGGAATGTAAAACTTTTTTTAACTACAATCAATAACTATAGATTCATTAAATTTGAAAAAAAACTTTTGATTATTATAAACTTACTCATAATAGACAATTGATTTATTAAGTAATGTTCGTATATCATCAGTAAGTAAACCACTTGATGAAGTGAGTAATTCTTTTGCTTTTAAATGATATGTTAAACCTAAATAGTACAATGCTCGAGATTGATCTGATGAATCAAGAAACATTGATTGACATAATAATTGTTGTTGTTGTAATTTTGTATTTGGTCGATTTTCTTTTTTCGAACCATTAGGATATTTACGAGCAAATCTTTTATGTAATGTAGACATTATACAAAATGTCTCCTATCTATAATAGAGTATCCTACTTTTCAGAACAAGGATATGTACGATACGTATGAAATATATAATAACCTTTTGTTTTCGTTCCAATGATGAACAGTGCTTTGTTCAATTTAAATATTTAATAGCCAATCGTTAGATAAGATTATGTACTCCATCTACAATAGAAGAAAACGATATAGAATATATACACATGATTTTCTATGCATTGTTTCGTTCGTATTAATTATTTAGTTATTGAATATTCAAAATAAACGTTTATTTAATAATTTTAGAAATACTTGAGATAGAAACACTTCAACTAAAGGACAACAGTTAAGGATGTTTCCCTCTTAACAATATAAGTATCTATATACTTGGCCACCAATTTAAAAACTCTTCATTTTGTCTTTGTATTTTAAATTAACAATTTATATTCTATTGGCAAAATATAATAAATTAAAAGATTTTCTATTGAAAACATCTAAACTCTGATGATTTCCTGTTTCTACTACTGATAATTTAATATGGACGTATTCATAAAAGATGTTCAGGCGAAATCTTGAGGTTGGGTATGGGCTTAGATGAGGGTCTGGGTCTGGTTTTGGGTGAAGAAAAGATGAAGCCGCATCCACGCCCACCCACCCACGCCCACATCCGCACCCACACCCACTCTTTATATCCCTTCTTCTGAACGTCCAAATTGCGAAAAATGCCAAAAACCTAAATTAGCGTCTGGACGTTCGTGCGTGGCTGACCACCTTCTCTTCCCCAGAAATGCCCGTTTTCCTCTGACGTCCCCCCTCTGTTTAGACGTCCTTTAGAGATGGCCTCTATTGACAATTCGATGGAAAAAGAAATGGCTAACTATTAAATATTCCGGAAATCGAAAATAGTTTTACTATATGCTTTTGTTGTGATAAAAGATGTTGTCATATAATAGAAAATAGTTCACATAAACAATTAATTGAGTTTTTCAAAAAATAAAATATTTGTTGACAAATAATCATATATATATATATTGCCAATTGACGTTTATTTACATAGGAATTAACGAATAGAATTTAAATTCTAATTCATTCGAACAGTATTATACTACTTATAGACTAAAACAACAAATTCTCTTTTTCCAGAGAGATGGCAAATTCCGTTTCCGATTCCGCTTCAACAGAATATTAATATTGATTTTGACGTCATTATTTTTTTCTCATAAATTTTCAAAAAAAATATTAATTATATAAGTCTATTCTCTATTTTTTAACGTAAGATCTATTTATTTATTCTTTTTTTAGACAGGCTGTACATGCTCTTCAAGAGCAAAATTCATATAGAGACATAAAATAAAGACAAGAAATAAGAAAACACAATTAGATGAGACAAAATATAGATGAATTAATGTAATAATATCATAACAAAAGATCAATCTAAATATATAAAAATAAATTTTCTTTTCGAAGAAAAATGCTTTAACTAACATTCTTGTATTGAATGCATAAATCTCGACGGTGATTGAGGAAAACTTCGTTCACTCGTAAATGAATCTTGTCGAGATGGTACACTTAAACGTTTCATTGAATTAAAATTATTATTATCTTTATCATTTAAATGTAATAATGAACTATTTGATGTAAGCATCTTCTTTAAACGATTTTTTGATGATATTGGACTAAAGGAAAATGTTCGACTAAGACGATTCTTTGCTTTATATAAACCACTAAAATATATAGAAAGTTGTTTTTTTTTAAGTTTGAAGAAATATATATTTTCATACGTTCTTAATGCACTACCAACTGAATTTAATCCACTCGTTGTTGTTGCACTCATTGTTGAATGAGTTGATAATGTATCATTATCACTCATAAAATCTAATGATGAAAGTGGAGTAAATGCACCATTTTCTGGTCCAACATTTTCAATAAGTGATGTCTAAAATAATGAATTATGGAATTATTTTATTTTCATATTATTTGTTTTTTTACTTTATCAAGAAGACAACGTTCTTCTGCAATGGCTTTAGCTAAATGTTGTAAAACTTCTGTTTTACTTGTTTGATTTACACTAGCTATAGTCGATAAGGATGTTAATGATGTCATAGAATCGGTTAAATGTGAACGTGATATTGACATATTATTATCAGCTACACGAAATATTAATTGACGTGCTTGACCATCGATTGAACAAAGCATACCGAACTGTTCATTTTCTAGAAAAACAATAATATGCATATATATCTAAATTTTTTGATTTTTTACCATCACATGTTGATGAAGCTATATCATATAGACTACGTATATCACTAAGTTGAATTAATGCCACATGTTTATAGGATTTTGTTGATTTAACAACTGGTGTTTTCCATGTATTAACGCGTAGTTTTGTGATCTAAATTAACAGATTTTATTAAATCTTCATAGTTTCGTTATATCAAAAAGCTCTATTTCATAATTAAATTTATAGATTAATCATAATTATTGAAAATTTTTCCACCGGTTCTCAAGCTGCAGACTCATTTTTTTGTAACTTAAAACCAAAAAAACTGTCATGCCGCAATCTAGATTGCGTCGTGTCCAAGGTCGACTATGTCTTTTTTTAAAATTATTCTGCATCACACAGTTCTATCCTAAGTCTATGGCAATATAGAATTAAGTCATATTTACTTCGATACAATCGGAGAAAAGGAAAAGTGTTAGATGAGTTCGTTTTCCAGTTAATTCTTGTGAGAGTTCAATTAGATTAAATTTTTGTAAATAATCTCGATGTGCTGCAAGTAATTCTGGCTAAAAATAACAAAGAATTTTCTTAATGAAAAACAAAAAATGACTTCAATGATCTTACTGGACAATTATCAATACTATTAACAATACTAAATAATGAAAGATGTTTCTCTGTTTTTCCTCGTTCTTCATTTAATTTTTTTGCAACTTCACGTAATTTATCAATAGCATTTGTTAATTGTTGATGATTTACATGTGTTATTGGTGTATATTTAAGTAAACGTTCTAAAAGCAATAGAACACTTGGTAAACGTTGAATTGGTCGAATCATTAAATCAGCTAAGTGTTGTTTGCCTAATTCTGATTTATGTTCACAGATCTATTTATTTAAATGTATAATATTGAAAAAACAAAATCTAATATATAGAAATATTACTTTAAGATAAGCATAAAAACGCGAATTGCTTTTCTCAAGTGAATGTATTGCTTGAATAGTTTTATCATAAAATTTTGTATATGGTTGATAAACACGTAAAAGTTCGGCTGCCTAAAAATTTTCATACATAGGGATACATATGTTTCTTATTCACTTACATTAGCTAAGAAAACTGAACCAATACAAGTATCTTCATTAAGTGCTCGATCGAGTTGTTCAGCAATTGTCAAATGTAGATGATAGATTTCTTCTATATTACCAAATATTTGTGTACTTTCAACTTTTGTTAATATGGGTCCATTTCGACGATCATCTTTTTCCATTTCTGTTTTGAAAAACTGAAAAAAAAACAAAAAATTTCATTTAATTTTTGATCTTCTCTCTTATAAATACTAACTTTAATTATATTGGATAACATAGTAACATAATTTCGTTCTGTTTCTCGAATTTCCATACCAATTAAATATTTATTATCTTTTTTTATATTTGGTGTTTTTTGTTGTTTTTCATATGTATCTACTATCATATCATCATCAAGACCATTCTCATTTTCATTACTACTATTAAAACGTTTTGTATTTGGTGTAATATTAATTTCTGTATTCGAATTTGATTCTTTTCGTCGTTTACGTTTAACAGATGTTGTTGTATTATGTTGATGAATATAATTGGAATCATTTATTGATGTTGATAATGGTGATAGAGTTGATAATGAAAGTAATGTTGAACGTGGTGAATCAGGTGTTGTTGTTTCATTCATACCTGGTAATTTTATTGAATAACTTGATTCATCTGCTTTACCCATTAAACATAAACATTCCCAAAACCACTGTAAAAAAAGAAAATAGTATTTAAATATAAAAATTTATATTAAATTTACTTGAACATTAACAATATGTTGACGATGTTTTCGTTTATATGATGGATAAGCGGAAAGAAAAATATTCGCATCCATTCCATTGTAAAACACAATATGTGTTGCATCAGATATTTCATTTGTAGTATATCCACCTAAATTATAGAATATATCAAATAGGACAAAGTTATTTTTTATCAATTTACTCATTGAATATTCTACACAATAAAGATAAGATTTTCGTATGAAGGAAGAAATGCTTCTACACTTAGGATTGAAGGTATGAGAGTGTTATAAAAATTTCTTTGACATCATTAAGATCAAATCTAATGATAAAGAAAACCTTGAACAGTCAGAAATAGGCCATGGCATTGGATTCTATAACCCAATCTCATTGAAACCATAGTAAGAAATTTGCCTTTTTTGAGCTGTAATCAACAAATATGTAAGATATCTTTATTCTATCATAAAATGACAACTTGATATGTCATAGTTCAGGTCATAAACAAAAATAGATTACTGTCAACTTCATCGATGAGTGTCAAAAAAACACCCTACAAGAGATGACTATAATAACAAAAGACTTCATCTCTTCCTATTTTTGAACTATTGTATGTTATCTACGCTTTCATAATCCTATTGATTCATCAAAACATTCGGTAATATATTTTTCTGATTAAACTATCTAAGGAGATTCTTTTTATTTTTAAAATTAGAACTTACCATTATCTAATGTCAATGTATGTAAATGTCGTTGTTGAGTTTCATCAGCAGCACCAAAAAAGAATAGATTAAGATTATGCAATGGTTTTGCACGATATGTTCGAATAAAATCTGTATTAAGTGCATCAAATCTTCGATTATCTCGTTCTTTCCAACATTCTAATAACCAATCTTCTGTTAAAATTTCACTTCTTTCCATATTAAATGCTGTCTATATAAGCACAAAATTGTTTTTTTTTTCGTATTAAAATTCTATAAACACTTACAAGATATTTTTCAC